AATTTGGAACATGAAGAGTAAGTAATTCTTTAAAATTTAATTTGATTTTCTTTTATTTTGTCTATCACAATTCTGATTTATGGTTTTATTAGCCATACGCATTCGTATATAATAAATTGTAGCGATGAGAATGTGAAAAAATTGTTCACTAAAGAGGAATGGGATGAATTGACACAAGAAAACCTAGAAGCCTTCGAAATTCCAGATGATATATTGGGATACTTAAAATTTTATAATCAAGATACAATAGAAGGTGTTAGACGAAACCATATCTCAAAAATGATGAAACTTATGACACTAATTCCCATTTTGATTACGAATGGATACATTTATCTGTTGGAAGTGTAATCAATTTGTGGGAAAACAAGGACTCACCATTATCTCGTACACAATACGAGAATTGGTGCTCGGTCAATTTATTTGGGAGTTGTTTGGATTTTTGTTTTAGAGATTATAAATTAGGAACAGATGTAAAAAGGTTATTATTTTTTTTTTTAACAATGTGATTGATCAATCATTATTCTTTGAATGTAACTTTGTATACTTTAGAACGGATTCGCCATCAACAGCTAGTGGTAATCGGAAGAATCGTGCGAAAGAGAAGGGTGCTAGAAAAAGGGTTGGACGCAAAATTGATGGTATAATTTACAACATTGGAAAAAATCTTGAATTAGGTGTATTTGAATCTGCCAGTATTTTCGAGGACGAACATGATAATAAATATCTTAAAGAAAGTTTTAAATTGCCAAAATCAATGAGAGATATTTATTGTGGTTTGGCTAGATACATAAAATATGAAGAAGAAAAATGCAATTCGTCACAAGTGATAGGAATACTACACCTTGGCCTAATGGTGCAGTTTTCAAAGTTATGGAGAGAAAATGGTTTAATCGCAATATATAAAAAGCAATACTGTGCATTATTTGTCACCAATGATTACTTGAAGCTATTAGCTAAAATTTATTCTTATAAGGTAAAAAATATGTTCTTGAATTTGCAATCTTATTTTTTTTTTTTTATAACTTTATTAATTATTTAAGCTTCTTAAACAGCAAATAACAGAGAATAATCTTCGGATTGTGATCCAGTTGAGGAAAGTGATCTATTAGAAGAATCGTGAAAAAACACCGCCACCTGCAATAGAATACTTTACAGACTGCTGGATGATTCAGTTAAACCGAATCATCTAATCCGGTCCAGCCTAGGGATGGGCAAAATGCGAAATCCTTAGTTTATTGTGCGAATAATGCGCATTATGTGCATAGTAGATTTTTTAAAAAAACATCCACCATAAAATTATCTTTATGGTAAATGTGTTGCGCATTTTAAAATTTGTTCAAGAGTAAGTATAACAACTCTCCAAGGGTAGTAGTGAAAATGAAAAAGGAAATCAAGAACCTGATGATTTTTATGATTCTGATGTAACTTATTAAGTTAGTAAAATAATAAATTTTTATAATAAAATTTTGTATTCTAATCACAACAATAAACACAATAAACATATGTTTTATTACATCTAAGCTAAAACCAACAGCAACATTTATTTCATAATTACAATATTTGCATTGTGCGCAAGGTTGCTGAAAGCCTGATACTTGACCAAGTTTATTGAAACGAATCCAAATGGGATTAGCAGGCAGCATTTAAAATTTTTATTTCATTTATTATTTACATCATGTAATACAAAATTCATTTTTTAAAATTTTTGGCGCGTAAAATAGATTTATCTAATCTATTATGCGCATAATGCGCATGTCAGATCTCTAGTCCAGCCTAAAAAGATCAAAAAACAAAAAGAACAAGGTTTCTTGAAAGATCAAAAAGTGTGAAATAATATCAAGAAATAATGTGATAGTATTCTAACAAATTCTTTTACAAAATTCTCTTGTCGCGAAAGATTAATATTATAAAAACTTTTAATTTTAATATTGTTTAATTCAGTTTTTTATGATTAAAAATGAGTAATAAATCACCGCAAAAAACCTTCATCTGGATTTTTTCTCATTCTACGATTAAAATTAAATTAAAGTTAACCAATTAATCAAATTAAATACATCTAGCCTACTTCCTGACTTGGTAGATGTTTATCCATTCAATTTTTTCCTTTTCTGGTTTGTTCAGCTATTTCTTAAGTAAAGTAATTGTTGATGGTTAAGATTGATATTTTCATGACATGTCGATTTTTTTGATTGCTTTTCAACCATAAAATTTTACT